CATCCATCTCTAATTTTCCAGCTCAATGACACAATTGACAATTAAGACTAATACCAGTTTGCTCATCTACTTCTGAAATAAAGTCTGGCTCACAATCATACAGTGACAGAGACTGAGAATACAGGATGTAAGAGGATGCTTGAAAGAAATGATAAGAAGCCAGCAAAGTTTACAATATCAGGCAGTGGTAATGAACATTCTATGAGATGGTATCGGGGAACTAATAATACCAGGGATAGACATCAGAGGCACAATAAAACACGAGGTACCACTTGAAGGAACTGAACAGATCAGATTGCTTGATTGCCAATGAGGTTGTCCTTGCCTGTAATGTCCATAACCCAATCAAAAAAGCATGTAAAATCTACATATCTATGGACTCAACTCAACAATCCAATCATGCGATGAAAGGTTCAATGAACATTTCTGCTTCATGGGACTTGGGTCTATTTCAGCTGATAGACATCATTTTTCTCCACTGTGATATGAATTGTTGAAAACTTGAATTATGGAGGAAGCATCTTAGCCTCCTCTCTGATACCCAAAGTTAAATTCTTCTTTTTGGTGAAATGAGAATATGGGTTCTTTGTTAGAAGAAAAGGGCAGATAGAGATAGAGATAGAGATAGAGATAGAGATAGATAGAGTCAAGTAGGACACTTGGTGCAGTGCACGTTATCTCAATTCCGGCTGCTAGTAAACTGATTACAAATCATGGGATTAATAAATCACATCCTGTCGAGGTATATAATCATTCAAGTAGTTTAAGATACAGTCCCTTCAGGATATATATTTATATTGCATATAAAAATACCAAAATTCTGTGTTATGTAGTTTTCAGATGGGCCTGTAAACTGGGTGAGAATCCCATACTCTGGTCTGTGAAGGAGATCCCTTAGACATACAAATTGGTGTCCTGTGCCACTTGTTTGAACTGACTACAGTTTTAGGTTCAAATGAGAAGTACATGCTGTAAAAATCTATATTAATTGGTCACACTGGCTGCATTTGAACATGGGCATTAAAATAGGACAAAAATCTTTTTTAAGTGTATTTTATTGTGGGGCTAAGAGGGGCAGAGATACTTAGATTGGAGCCATAAAACACTTTGGGAAGCTGCCAAACCATGTGTGGCTGCATCCCCACGAAACACCTACCCCCAGTGACCACCAGCAGCTTACTTCACCCTCTCCCAAGCCCAAATTCCCAGACTGCTAAGAACGGGAGCCATCTCTCCCATAACTGGTTATGTATAACAGGGAAAGGGTGTTGTAGAGTATTGGAAAGTTATACCTTTTCTGCGGATATAGTAACTGAGCATGTGCAAAAGCTATGTCATAGTAAAGTCAGGTCACATGCATCTGAAGCCTGGATTTGTAGGGCTCCAACTAAGCTGTCCTCTCTTACCATCATCTACACACAGTCATGTTCAAGACAACCTGCTGCTGTTCATTTTACAACAGCATTGATCTCATTTTACCATATGCATTTTAGCTCCGAAGTTGGTCCATGTTATTTAAATAAGGCCCAAAACACAAATTAGCTCAGGCCTCTTGAATTTTCTAAACAATCCTGACTTAACTCCCAATTCAAACACAAGTTAAAGAATGTACCTAATTCATTCCAAATAAAAAACATTTGATTGCTTCTGTCAATAATTACGCTTTCATCTTTTAATTTGATTCGTAAAACATACTTCTGCATACTTTTGAAAAAAAAAATCAATTTCACATGGATTGTTTCACAGTAGAATTATTCCAATTTTGTTTATGTAGTGATTGGAACCAGCTGGATCTTACTGATTATGAGATCTTTGATTGGTGTTGTTAACCTGGGCCAATCAGGGAGCCCTGCTGACCACTATAAACAGGGGATTCAGAATCTCCTCAGTTCAGGGGACTGACTCTGAACTGGCTGGCCACAGCCAGTGTACTGTGCCCATGTAATTAAGGGGACTTGGTGATGGGATACCAGCCTCTACGCAGTTATTTCAGTTTATATATTTGTTCACAGGATGTGGGTGTCTCTGGCAGGGTCAGCTTGTCTCTAATTGTCCTTGAGAAATTGGTGATAAACACCTCTCTTGAATCACTGCAGTCCATGTTCTATAGGTGTTGGAAGACAGGTCCAGAGAGAGTGCGTGAGCCCTGGTGATTGTCCTGTTTCCAGGTCCCTGATAAACTCCCTCCTACTCTCTTTTAACCCATTGCTGCTTCTGTTATATGCCTTTACAATGTGTTTTAACCTGGTAATATGTTATAGTTCTGTACAGAAGGAAGCCATTCAGCTGACTAAATCTGAAATCCCTGCTGATTCTTTTGAAGAGAAATCCAGTCTGCACTATCACCGCCCTCCTCCCCCCAAATCAATACCACCACTACCTATTCTTTCCCCTTTTTCTGTCCAAGTATTTATCCAATTTCTTTTTGAACACTATCAGGTAAGGCGTACATTCTAAATCCTAACTACTATTTATGTAAAACATTTCCTCATGTTTTTCTGCCCATCAATGCAAATGAAGTGAAATCTGAGTCATCTGGTTATCAATCCTTCAATCACTGGGAACATTTTCTGCCTATTCTATTGAAACACTTTATCAGTTTATGCACTTCTATCAATCCCCATAAGTTTTTTGTCTTTTAGAAGATCAACTTTAGCTTCTCTGTAATTCCTCATTTAGCAGATCTCTTTTGAATCCTTTAAAAAATCCTTGCTCATCTCTCTAGTGCCCAGAATTAAAAGCCATTGTCACAATGACATCAAACTAGTTTTATAACAATGGGCAAATCTTTTTCGTTTTTATACTCCATGCCTCTTTTGATATGCCCATTCAAAGCTCAGATTTTTAGTTTTGTAATCTTTATAACTGAAGCTTTGTCAGACAATTGCTCACCACTCGGTCATTTACATTGTGCAATCAGCGCCACTTCTTTGGACCTGGCCCTGTGTCAAAATATTTTTTGAGAGGTCTTCTTGAGATTTTCTCGAGGGCTACTTCATAATATTCAGGGACTGCTTTGTTAATTATTAGGGACACTTGCTTCATTGTAACTGATTTACTAGGTGGTGCACTAGGTCATGCCAACATCTGCAGTATTTGAGTTGATAGATAATGTATTTGGACTCACCACAGAAGCAGAATCAGAAGAATGTATCAATATCATCAATTATTAACAATACATCAAATGTATTGCTACAATACACAGGGAAAATATTAATTTCCTAGGCATCACAATATTTAAATTAGCACAAGATAATAGGTAAATTTAGCAACAAAAATTTACTTCAAAATAACTGACTGACAATTCTAATCAGAAAAGGCATCACCATAAATACACTTTCTGAAGACAGAAGGGATCACAGTTGATGCATTTCCATCAGAGATGCAGAAAGCTGAGACATTTTCCTTGACCCAAGAAGCTAATGCCCTATTCACTAAATTTCAGATTGGAATTACAGTATTCATTACAATAACAACTACTTTATTTTTTTCTGCATGAAGTATTTCCTACTCTTTTGCAGACTTAAACTAGAAATTCCCTTTTCATTTTGAGAGAATTTAATACCTCACAGAATTTAGGTTTGCCTGGTTCTCAGGTATTTGAGTATCGCACTGATGGCAGGTGTAGGAGCGAGTTTATAGAGGTAATGAATTTTGGGGAGACAGCAGAATTCAAGACACATGGCAATTTATTCATGCATCTACCGGTACAATGCAGGGAGAGGCCAAAGACTACTCTGAATCTGGCCTCGACATGAATGTCCAATTACCCTTTAATCTTCAGCTTACATTGCAAGAAAAGTTGATGACACTCTAAATTTAAATACAAGTGCAATGCCTCTTATATACTTTTATTGTAACATTAACATGATGGCACATACACCCTCCTCCTGTATACTATTGTTTAATTAGTTAGAGACAAAAAAAAAACTGCAGATGCTGGAATGAAAGGTAGACAAACAGGATACTGGAGGAACACAGCAAGCCAGCATCTGGAGGGAAGGAGAAGTCAACATTTTGGGTATTATCCTTCTTCAGGACTTCTAGACTTCTGTTTGTCTACCTTGGATTCCATCCTCTGCAATTTTTTTTTGTCTCTAACCAAGTTTATACCAGTGCAAAGCCTCTTCAAAGTATGCCCACTTTGAAGAAGTTCTCTGCCTCCTTCAGACGTAAACTCAGTGAGCCCATTTCTCTTTGTCCTGCTGCGGTGACCTCTTCAGCCCTTCAGCTCTTCAACCACACTGTTATTGCTTAATTAGTGTTGGATTGTTCAACTATGATTGAGTTTCCAGTACATCACTCTATTAGTAATTGCTTGTTGCTGTGATCTGAATGGGCCCTTTTGGTATGTGGGAAACCAAACTCTCCATGGTCACTTATGAACTTTTACCCCTCAACTATGATGTCTGTGTGTGCTATTTTGTTCAAAACTGAAACAGAGTCTTCTTTGAGATTTCCCACCATTCCAACTTTCTTAGCCGTTGTCCTTGATAAGAGATAGGGAGGCCGCTCTCTATTAGTCATAATTGGTTTTTAAACCTTTCTTTCTAATGTTTTGTTTAGTGATTTATATGTGTGTGTGTGTGTGTGTGT